AGCATCATTGTCTATTGTGACTCATCCAAACAATAGTGTCTTTAAAACGAAGGCGGTAATGATAAAGTCAGGGACGGCAAGCACACAGCTGTTCACTCATTCTCCTACACAGGTATAATTAAATGCATCCTGGTTTCAAGTAGGAGTCTCTGCTTCCTCAGGTAGACTAACAAGCCCCTGATGATGCAACATCGAATCATTGTCCTTAGAGTACCTGTTGTGCAGCTTAACACACATCTAAAATGTTGGTGTTAATCCCGAAAGTCAATGCCTGTGCCAGCTCCTAGTCTGCATTAAATATCAGGCAGAAAAGTCCAAGAACACTTTACTGTGTAGCAGAAATGTACATGTTTCTTATCAGAATTACCAAACTCTGAATCACTATGCAGTTAGGACTCATTCATACCACAATGCACATAAAATGCATCTGCACTGAGACTAGTTAAGGCATGTTGACGTGTTTTTTTACGTCAAAAGATGTTTAATGTGTGCTCAGCTTAGTTTTTATATGCTTTTTTTCTGTACAGGCTACATCAAGAGTCAAAATACTAACATATGGCACATATGACACACATGACGTGCAATGACATACGTTTTTGTGCATTGCACTGCAAAATAATCCAGCATGCCTACAATTTTCTTCAATGCACACCAACGCACTAATATGGTGTAAAAGAAGGCACATAGACCGCAATTGTTTTTAGAGTTTCCTTGTGTTAGTAGTTTTTAGAGTTTCCTTGTCAATACAGATCAATGCAGTCCAACGCTCCTGGTGTGAATGAGCCCTTTGTGTACCAAAAAGTAAACGTGGCTTTAAGGACTTCTAATGTGCATTTTCATTGACATTCAAAAACACGCAGGCCGAAATATTTTTTTTTTTTACATAATAAGTTTTTATTCAAATATTTTAACAAATGCCATATTGTTAGCCCGGCGGCCAATTGATTCCTGTGTACTTTGAAAAAAAGTTTTCATGTCCAATTTGGCTTGTCGGACTGGTGTTTGTTTGGAGCCCTGAGATTTCTTCTTGGTTGTAGGACCCATGACGCCCAAGATAGATGAGGTGGAAAGGCAAATAGAGCAGATGCCTGGCCCGTAGTGCAGGAGCTAAAAAAGACTGCTGCTGATCGCCGCCATGAGCAAGCTCCGCCAGGCCGAAATATTTTTCATGAGCCATGAAACATATTTATTAAAAACACAATTTTCTGTAAGCTGCAAGAAATCCACTGCAACCTAATTTTAGAGTATCTGTTGTGATCTTTGAGGAGTGCAGGGCCGTACCGAGCAGCTCTCGGGAAGGACAGGTGTGTGATTAGTACGCAGCCCCCGTCCTTCTCTATAGGACTACACGGCCGTACGCCCCCCTACGCTCACCCGCCCTGCACATCCATGCGGGTGCAGGTGAGCGTACTTGTATGCTGACAGGATGGATCCTGTCTGCGCCTGAGCCAGGAAATACGCACCCCTACAGACCTGCACTTGAGGTGAGCGTAGGGGGGCGTACGGCCGCATAGTCCCATAGAGAAGGACGGGGGCTGCGTATTAATCACACGCAGCACCTGTCCTTCCCGGAAGCTGCTTGGTAGGGCCCTGCACGCAGCACAGAGCTGTACGTGTGGACCGATTCCAGTGTGAATGGGGGCTAACTGAGCTGTCACCAACAGCTCACAGTCAACTACCAAGGATCTGGAGCCAGTTGGAAGAACTTCCAATTATGTCACCACTGTACAGCCAATCACAGTGATGATATATTTGGGAGACCCTTCTACTGGCCACCGGCATCAGGGCCCAACCCTTGTAAGCCTACTAGGGTGTTAAATAACAGACACTAATAGAGAAAGAAAACAGAAATGCTACTTTATTCCTCCACAAACTGTAAGAAGAGCACACAGCCAGGAAATAATGTGGAGCAGCAATATTACTGGAGCCCGATGACATCAAAGACCAAAGTCAGTTGCACACTTTGAATCCCCAATGGCTGTACTTGTTGGGCAAACTGTACTTGTTCTATTACGAACACAGAAATGAGTATGTGAAGTGTGAAATTACACCTTTTGTTTGTTGTGTAGTGGCATACGGTTGTAGAACTTCAGTAACTATACGGCTACGCTGATTTCTGCATCCCAAAGAAAGCGATATTTGCATGTCTTTATTGCGCGGCTATTAAACCCCCTATGAAGCTTGTTTACTTGCATTTGTTTTAGCTACACAAAGTGAAGCAGCTGACAGGATGCATCATAGATGAAATAGCACACCTGCTGTAAGAAACACAAGAGACTCTCAAGCAGCCAAATCAGGAAATAGTCAACTCGCCTCTTGTTCCATGATGAGAGGATATGCTGGGAGATACTGAAACATAGCTTTATTCCCTATCACAAACAGGCCAAGGTCACGGAATCTGCTTACACAATTATCCACTGCTATTCAAATACTTTTTCCTACTTTTTTGGCAGGAACAATCCTTTGATGATATTGATCTAATGTGATTTGTTTTCTGCCAAGACTGTGTATCTCTCTATAAGGAAATCAACAGTTTGAACAGTCAAGAAGTATCACGGTAGTGGAATAAAATGATACTGTGCTCACAGAGATAAAACGGATTATCTTCACTCCCACACCTGGCATACGTGCCTTCAAAAAATGTTGCACTTTTAAACGGAAGCATTTGAAAATAGAATGATGTACATAAAAAAATATTAAAGGGTCTGTCCACTAGTTCAGCTATTTGTCTTGGAAACTCCAAAAGAAATCTCCATGTCTCAGTTCCTGTCCACAAAGAAGTTTTGGGTGTTCCTGACCACCTTTGTATGTTTCAACATTTCCTGTTGCATTTTCAACAATATCACCTAAAAAATCCAACAGGAAAAGTAGGAACCTCTTATAATGTCCAACAAACGTATGCAAACCCAGAAACCTAAACACAAATATGTCAACAATAGAGTCAGAAAATGAAATAAGAAAAAGGTCAACCAATTTAATGTGTTGCCACTGGCTGTACACATATATGAGCAGTGGTCGTTATGCCGTGCCACATATATGCATACTGCTACCATCGCTGTTTTGTACTGGGACCATTTCTAATTGCGCGGCCCCAGCACTCTGACCCAGCTGTCACTGGCAGCTCCTGTTCACTGTTTACAATCATGAGCCGGTAGTACAGATACCTGATCACATGACCACTGTGACAGCCAATGACAGTGATCACATGACTGTAAGGGCCCCGGCATTACAAAGGCTTAAATAGCTAGCTCCTGGCAGTGGGAAGGGTTAAAAGATGAACTACAGGTAGATATTAAACAAAAGCAATGAATGCAGCAACATATTCTTTAATGGAGTCCCTTAAACCCAACAAAGCTTTCCATTTCAATGCAATCTCTGCTACAGATTTGGAACAAAAATGTCCAAGTATGCAAACCAGCAAATACATTTCTCCCTTGCTTTTTGCAATAGTTGAAAATATGCTGCATAGGTGCGGCAGGACCCCTGGATTAAGCACAGCTTTCTCTGTGCCCATTTGCACTTTCTATCCACACATGCACTCTGTTAAATCAGTTAGTTTCACTGCAAATATACAATAGCATCCCTAATATGACAGAACAAAAAACTCAGTTGCTGGCAAAAAAAAGTAATTGCTGGAAATGACTTCCTGTGAGGGAAAAATGACATCACTTCACTCTGACCCAAGTCCCTCCTTCATCAGCTCAAAGGAGAATTAACAGAGGAGGTATCTGAAAGATAGTGGGTTTTTTATACAGCCACTGGGAATAATGTTTGGCAGGTACCTGGAGCAGACAAAATCTGGAGCAGCTGTGCATGGCAACCAATCAGCTTCTCTCTTCAGTTTGTTCAGTTAAGATTTCAAAATGAAAGAGAGAAGCTGATTGGTTGCCATCCACAGCTGCTCCCGTTTTTTATAAATTCCCCTCGTTGTTTTCCAGCAATTTACAAAGATTGCAGGAAACAAAATGAAAATATGAAAAGTTTAGTTCTGCTTAACGTGTATTTTTAAAAGCAGCTAGTGTACATGTAAGTACTGAAATATTCCTTGGGATTAGTCATTTGTAATCACCTAACAGACGAATTTAGATGAGGAAGTGGTAACACTCGAAGTCAATAAGGTTTGTTGAATGTGCTAAGAGTATGAGAGAGCAGAGGAATGAGCTCATCAATCTGTTGCTTCTTATACACTGTCCAGTCCCATGCAGGGAGGTGACTAAACTGTATGACTTACCTGCAGTAGAAAAAAGTCAGGTCACCAAACTGGTTCTGCTGTCTGCCAAGACTGAGTGAGTGGTCAGAAATACTAATGTCTTGACAGGCAAATGGCCTCCTATGTATGTATTTCAGCTGTGTATTTAGCGGTTTGCCTGAAATTCAATTTTAACCATTTTCTACAAAAATATGAAATATCATTTTTTTGGACTAAATATATAATTGCATTACAGTGCCAGAAGGGTACTCTGAGGGGTCTTTTGAAATAATGCCGCAGGCAACATTTCAGCAGAGCATTTAACATGCTGGTGAGAGACATTGCACAAAGTTTACAAAAGTGTAGCCCTGACCTGATCACATGAAGTGAAGAGCAAACCCACACCTACCACTATATCACCAGGTAACTCCACAGCCAGATTACTGCCCCTAAATCCTGAGCTTCTGCCACCTGCTTCAGCCATTGTAAGAGGTTGTCCCTATCAATACTGACTTCTGTACACATAATTTTAGGCCTGTCATATCCATGTAGCCTCTATCAGCACAAGTGTTAGAGGCACTTCTGCATCTAATGCCTTAATGTACAAGCCCTTACACACAGACTGATATATGGCTGTAGGAAGAACTGAAGATCCATCAGTTAGCTCTCAATACGTGGATCACAAAGAAGCCAGAAGGTGTTTTACCATTTGTTGGACTACAACCTTAATTGATAAGTTTGGAACAAACATTTTAAAGGCATTACAAGACAATACAATAGTCCATAAAAGATCACGTAGAATGGAGCTTACCTCTTTACTGATCTCAACATCTGTAAAAATGCTCTGTTCATCTTCTTCGTGATATTCTCCATCAGATTCACCCAGAGCAATGGGAACGCAGACAGAGAGGCGAGGGTTGGCCATGTAATCATCGCTTTCACTAACAACATACTTTTCCCCATTTTTCGAGATGCCTCCGTTGGTGTTACTCCCTTCTCTGTAATCCTTTTCTTTGCCTGTGCTGCTCATGTTCATGTGATTGTGGAGATTGATGTTGTTGATGTTCCTGTTCTTCCCTGAAAGATTGGTAATGAATGTGTCCCCAGTTTTCTTGGGCTTCGTAAATACGTTTCGTAAAAAATCTATAACAGTTTGTTTGGCAAAGGAAATACCCCTGTGAATCCTTGCAATTGCTATCTGAAGGTTATTCATTTCACCATCCTCATCGGGAGCAGATAAGTTATCCGAGCTGAACGAGCTAAGCAGGAGAGCCAAGAAAAGGTTCAGAACCTGTAAAAGTGTAAAAATACAGTAAATATAAACATATTCACATATAAACAAATTAATGTAATCGTACACTGTGCTAAAATGCGTATACAGTACTCCAAATACTTTGTTATTCTGTTCAGCCATCCTTTTTGATTTACAGAATCCCATCATACAGCCAGACACGTAACAGGTAGTGACGAGCTCAGGTTCAGACTGAACCAGGTTTGAACCTGATCACCTCCAAACCTGTAAGGGACATGGGGCCACCTGCCCAATTAGCTGTGGGCCGTGGCATTCCCTGCCCCAAGCTGCACATAAACAAAGGGGCAGGATGCTTGTTCTGACATAATTGGCCTTTTATGGCCACATGGCCATAGTAGGTCAATGTAATTGCCCAAATATAGGCAAGCAGCCATATAAGGTCAATGACCTCATAGCATCCCAACCCTTTGCTTATTTGCAGCTGCGGACAGATAATTGGCCAGCCGCAGATGACTGGGCAGCAGTGGAAGGAGCTTTCCTCCAGGTTCGAAAAAGCTTAGGTTTGGACTGGATCTCTAGTGGCAGGCTTATTTCCTGGCTCATCAAATCTTCTTCCTGTGGCATTTCTCAGCCGCCAGCTTGTTCAATTGCCAAGGAATCAGCATAATCCAAGCTATCCATTTAGCAGGGAAGTGACCCAGGGAAAAATAAAACTGATCTTCCACTGCATAAAGCCACTAGCAGAGGGTGTCCTCAAAAGTTTGATAGAATTTGGTCCATCTGGATGGAGTCTAAAGCAACACTACCAGCCTAGGTGCACAATTATGGCATCCGAATGGTGGTTGCAAGCCTGGTAGGGCGATGCCTAGAGGGAGATTTATGGCTTTCCTGGAACTTTAGGGGAGACAATATTGTACAAGGATGAGATTGTGGTGAGAGCATTGGGAATCCCTCCACTCCCGATATATATTCTTTAACTGCCTTTGACTGAATCGGGTACTCTGCATCTTTCTGGGAAGCGCTAAAGAGATTGGCTGTAACGGTTCACATCAGGGACCGGATGGGGGGTGGATTGGTTGTAATTATATTGTAACAATTTACCTGTGCCTGGGGGAGGGGGAGGGGGAGGGTTATGGTCAGAGGGTTAGTTTTATTGGACCTTGCATGGTCCTTTACGGTTGTTGGCATACGTTATGCCATAATGTATACACTGTTGTGTATGGATGAGGTGCTATGTTGGTGCCCGAATGTTACTGTACTGTAATGTAATTGTTTACTATGCAAAATGAATAAAAAGATTTTTCAAAAAAATAAATAAATAAAACTGATCTCAGTGGGGGACTGATAAGACTTGACACAGATACTTTTGGCACTGAAAAAGGTTAGCATAGAAGTGACAGGGTTAGGCTAGCATTATAGCAAAAAAGGTAAGTGTTAAGTTATGGCTAGGCTTAGGATCAGGGGTAAGGGGGTTAATGTTCATGGTTAGGTTAAAAATTAAAGCCCAACCTCAGCTTGTGAGCTCTTCTAAATGGAATTGAGCTTAAGTGTTAGGGTTAGGTTGTCTTCATTTTCATTATGTTATAGGAACATCCAAAAAGCAGTATCCTGAAAGAGGAACCTTTTGTCTGAAATTCCTCCAACAAATAGTAGTGCACTTCCTGGTATCTGGGTGTGCCAAGTTAAGTCTTAGGGCTAGTTCACAACATAGGCAGTTGTGATGCAGTCCGTTCAGTTTGGCTGCTGCAGCCAAAATACATCACAATGGTTTCCTATGGGCTTTCTCGTGCTGTATTCACACCATTGCAGTCCGTTCAGATGCAGTCAGAAAAAGTACTGCATGTCCTATTTTAGCTGCATCTAACTGCACCGGAATGCATCAAAACGCATGCAAACACATTGAAACGCACCTGAACGCATTAAAAAACCCAGAATTGATTGTGCAACATCCAGGGGAAAAAACACATGTAAACGCATCACAAGCGCGTCAAAATGCATCAAAACGGATTGCAATGCAACTGCGCAGACGCACGCAGTTTTAATGCAGTTTCTGGTGTGAACTAACCCTTAATTCTAACCTTAGGTTACGTGTACAAAAAACGTAGAAAGGAAAAGTATAGAGGAAAAGTATGTGGGTTGCCTACACTGACCTCCTTCTGAAAATGTGAGATGCTATCTTTAGTTTTAGTGCCCTTGTTCAATATGATATATTGAAAACTAACATGCCATTTAAAAAAATGTCTCTTTTCAGACCCATCAATTTACATCTACCTTCTCTGTGACAAGCAGGCTGACCCAAAAGAACAAATTTACTACAAAAGGCTTTCAAGTGATTCCTTACAGCTGAGCTCACCCATTACAGAGGAATGTGACACATACATCTGACCCAATATGAGCTAATTATGACACATTAGATAAAAAGAAATGCAAGTCTTTGGGAACTGCCCTAAAAATGTTCAGCTTTATTGTATTATGACTTTTCATTATTACATTTCAGTATGAGTTCTGGTGTATATACAGGTGAAACCCGAATAATTAGAATATCGTGCAAAAGTTCATTTATTTCACTAATGCACTGCACTCTGCCCTTTCTGGTGTCTATCAGATATTGTTGCTTTAAAGTGTATCTGCAAGATAACAGTCTGCTATAGAAGATGAAACTAGTGTAGAAATTGCTGACTTTTTCATTTATGTTTTTTTTCTCCTCCATTCTATATGGAATGGAGAAGGGTTACAGCTTCTGTTCTGTTCTGAAGTTTGCTGCTGTGAGTGTACCCGTTGTGATTTCCCCTTACTTCTTGTTCCATGACTGCTGAAGTTAGGCAAAATCTCTCCAACAGGGACACAGCCCACTATAAAAATAATTTTTCTTAGTAGAGCAGGGAAAGATTACAAAGTATGTATGACTCTTGCTTCAGGAGAGGAAGTGAGGAAGAATCTCCCCAACAGCGACACAGATAGCAATAAAAGCATGAAATAGGTTCTACACCTTTCTTACGCCTTCCCCAGAAGAAAGAGCTGATAATCAGGATTTACACCAGCTGCTAATACCTATGAAGCTTCGCTCATACTTTGCCTTTGTAAAATGTACTTGTTTTCTACATGTGTATTTCTAAAGGGAATAAATAGATATACATGCAAAAGATCAACGAGAAGTAAATAACTGAATACATATGTATAAGTAAAACCTTTTTTTTTTCTTGTATATTGTTTGTATACATATATATGCACATTCCCCAGTTATATTTGTACATTACTTGTGTAGACTCTGCTTCCTCTGTGATGCTACACAATGATTATGCTTTACTGCTCCTTCTCAAAATGCAAATCTATGGGTCTAAGTGCTCACTAAGAACAATACGCTAGCTGTGTTGCTGACATAGCCTCAATAGTTGTTAGGCAAGAAGACTAACTGCAGTAAAATAAGTACATTCCAGTGGCTACACTACAAATTTTTGTATTTATTGTGTATGTAAAGGTCAATTAAAAAAAAAAACTTGGATAGAGAGAAGAAGGGGTAGACCTTCATCCATTTTTTTTCATTTCAGTGTGTCCTCACTGGGTAGATAAACCAAGACAAAAAGTGATGGGAAACAAAAAACGTCAGCGCTCTCATGACAGCAAGAGGTGATGGTAAATGTTCCAATAAGGACAAATGTTCTGGTGACAATTGTCTAAGACAGGAATTCCTGTCACTTTGGGGAGATAGCCTCTCATTTTCTTTTGCATCTCCAAGACAGGAAGTGAAGACAAATCTCCCTAGCACAGAGCTTGGCAAACTCCAGCCCTCCACCTGTGGTAAAACTACAAATCTCATGACACATCTATCTCTGCGAGTCATGCCTGTGACTGCGTAAAACTTACAATACCTCATGGGATTTGTAGTTCCACAGCTGGAGGGCTGGAATTTGCCCACCCCTGCCCTAGCATGCTACAGATAGCATATAGAAGATTTTAGCTACACACACACTTTAGTACAACAGGACAAAGCCTGTGAAAATGTAAATCCATATCAATCCACATGTAAAATCCACATCAACCATGACTTTAAAAGGTGAACACTTCAATTAAAACTCATATGTCCTCACTGAAAATGCTTTATATAATGCACTGTACTACTATATAGTCTTTCGATGCTTGCATGAATATATTTGAATTATTAATATCACTTGCTGAATTTGAAGGAAAAAATATCTTTTTTTTTAACACAGCAGTAGAAATGATCGTTTATAATTCTCATAATTGTAAAACTTTTCCCTCAGATATACTTGAATTGACAAACACTCTGTTCACACTTTACCGGGGAACAATACTAGCAAAACACTAGGTGTAATTACAGCTAGCAGGAATAACCTTTATTGCAAAGTGTAGCTGGAAAAAAATGACAATTGTGGTAAAACTAAATGTTACAGAATCAATTTATAACTCCAATAACATGTTCATACAAAACGCCATTTTAGATAGCCACCAACTCTGACATGTGACCAGTTAAGTGTTCTGACTTCTATTCAAGAACCGGCTGAACAAAGCCTTCAAAAATAGATTTTGCCAGAAATAGAAGCACAAGAGGGGAAAAAATACATACATTTAATGTCACATATGTTCGTATTCTGCACGAGGAAACAAATAACAAGACTAAGAACATATTTTCGTGGTGCCACTGAGCGAGTGGGAGTCAGTATTCAGACTGAACAAACGGTAATAAGAGAAGTGTTTCAAAATGGAGGCTGCATGCTGCTTTCTTTGATCCATAATGCACTGTACCCTGTGAAGCCTTAATCTGCGCTATTGTGCAACAAATTGCTAAGGTGCAGCATGGGGCTCCTGACCAAAATGTAAGCAGAACTTCATTTTTGCAGCTTGACTCTCATGGGCTGAATGAGAAATTTACATTGTATATATTTTTTTATGAGCTTAAAAAAGGTGCAAATTGAGAAGCAATGAGATGCTGTTAAAATCAGCTCAAGATCTTGTGCGCAGATTTGGTGAAAAGGTTCAATGCAAATGCATTTTTGGTGTTTTTTTGACCCTATAGTGGA